TGGAACAGATGTGTTTATAGTCGTTTCTTGACGATGGTTAAGGACTCAGCTGCTGGGATTGAGTTGGGCAGGTCATTCCACCAGGAGGGAACAGTTAATGAGAAAGTCTGTGAAAGTGATTTTGTGCCTCTTTTAGATGGCACAATAATACGCCGTTCACTTGCAGAACGCAAGCTTCTAGAGGGCACATAACTCTGAAGTAATGAATTTAGGTAAATGGGTGCAGAGCCAGTGGTGGTTTTGTAGGCAAACATTAATGCCTTGAATTTAATGCGAGCAGCTACTGGTAGCCAGTGCAAATTGATGAACAGAGGTGTGACATGCGTTCTTTTCGGTTCATTAAAGATTAATCTTGCAGCGGCATTTTGGATTAGTTGTAGAGGTTTGATAGAAGTGGCTGGAAGACCTGCCAAGAGAGCATTGCAATAGTCTAGCCTGGACAGAACAAGAGCTTGAATAAGGAGTTGTGTTGCATGTTCTGAAATAAAGGGCCTGATCTTCCTAATGTTGAATAAATCAAATCTGCAGGACCGGGCAGTTTTAGCAATGTGGTCTGAGAAATTCAGCTTATCATCAATCACAACTCCAAGGTTTCTAGCTGTTTTTGAAGGAGTTATGGTTGATGAGCCTAACTGGATGGTGAAATTTTGATAAAGTGATGGGTTTGTTGAAACCACAAGCAGTTCTGTCTTATATTTTAAGCAAAACATTTGCAAACGTTTGTGAAAATGGTTTACACTGATTAAACAATAGATATGCTGTTAAAAATGAGGTATTTGTACACTATGTTGTCAGCTGTTAGTGGAACATAGTTAATGTGATGAACTACACATGTGCTTATAACCTTGAGACTAATTGGTTACAAGTCATTGTCAACTACATAACACGGTCAACATCTTCAGGTCTCTTTGTTGTTAAATACAGTGTACTTAAAAATATCACAAAATAATTAATATTGAGACTAGTTCCGAAAATAAAATTTTTATACCTATTTCTATAACAACACTCAGGCTAAATAACTTTTACTTGAGAGGTTTTTCTTCATTTCAAATACTTATCTTGAAGTCGGAAAAAAAATCCATTATGCAGTAGTGATGCTTCTGCATAGTGATGACAAAGCCAAGCTGTTCTACATATGTCTCCTTGACATTTACATTAAATGAGAACTAATCCATGTATGTCTAAGCCAGTCTTGGTTCATGCTGACTGGTGTATCATAATACATCTGTTGACATTGCATGCTTCTTTTGAATCAGTGTTGAATGTCATCAGAATTAATCAGTTACATCAATTAAATTGATTTATCAAACAAAAGTATCATATTTGTCTAAAATTTACATTCATCTAAACTTCACAAACAAAACAGTGAAACAATACAAAATGTATGCTCTGGACAAAAAATAGCATATGCAGTACAGTAAGCCATTTCCATCTTTAGAATGATTGTCAGTGCCAAATGTTTCAGCTGATCGATTCCTTGACTCCCATTTGTGCCATCTTAGACATTAGTTAGCCATATTTAGCTTCTGCTTGACTAGCAGAACAAATCCAATATAAGGCGGTATGGACAAGCCCTGAAGACTGTTCAGGAGGCTGCTGTGTTCGTGATTGTGGTGAGAACATTACTGACAACTCTACTGTTTGTCATTGGTTGTAACAAATACACGTACAATAGATGATGATTAGATAAAAACTGGAGAAATGGATGGCTATCAAATATTCTGGATATTTGCATTCACACTTTTTCAGTATTACTAAATGTAGAGATATGAAAAGCGATTTCACATAAATGTATGGTAATAACATTTTGCTAATTAAATTAGAGGAAAACAGAAAACGGAAAGGTCACATGACTTTTAAATCTATTGCAGGGCTGCTGGAAAAACATCACTAGTGGGAAGGAAAAAGGTAAACAATATTTGTGTTGGTAATAACTGAAAAGCCATTTGTCATTTCTAGTTCATGGAAAGTTATTTTTGACAAGTAGTAGTGCAAATGAATTGCCAATATGGAAAAAAGTGTACAGTGATGAGGTTGTCTTGTAAATAAGAAATAAAATAAAAGTATCCTCTCTTCACTGGAGTAAGCCGACACCATGAGTACAGACGCGGAGATGGCCGTTTATGGCAAGGCTGCCATTTACCTCCGTAAGCCTGAGAAGGAGAGAATCGAGGCTCAGAACAAACCGTTTGATGCCAAAGCTGCCTGCTATGTGGTTGATGATAAAGAGCTGTACGTCAAGGGAACAATCAAGAGCAGAGACGGTGGCAAAGTCACTGTTATTGTGAATGACACTAAAGAGGTGAAATTTCAACATTCCACGAAAACTTTTACTTATTTAATCTTACATATTTTTTTGATCGTTCTAATTTAATGGATCAAATTTATAGGAGAAAGTTGCAAAGGAGGATGACGTCCATCCAATGAATCCTCCCAAGTTTGACAAGATTGAGGACATGGCCATGATGACCCATCTCAATGAACCCTCTGTGCTGTATAACCTCAAAGAGCGTTATGCCGCATGGATGATCTACGTAAGTTCTGGAGCAAAGTAAAACAGTGTTTAAGTTAATTTTGTCTGTATTTTTGCAATCTGACCACTTTGCTAATTTCAGACCTACTCTGGGCTGTTCTGCGCTACCGTGAACCCCTACAAGTGGCTCCCAGTGTATGATGCAGAAGTGGTGGCAAGAAGCGTATGGAGGTCCCACCCCACATCTTCTCTGTCTCTGACAACGCCTATCAGTTCATGCTGACTGGTAAGCTCTGATTTATGTGATATGAATTATTTATAAGTTGATTTTAGTATGTCAAATTCACATTCATATATTTTTTAATGAAACAATCGCTGAAACATTATTACCTTTGAATTTACAGACAGAGAGAACCAGTCTGTCCTGATTACGTATGTATCTAGCCTACTGTTAGAGATGTCGAGAACGATTACATTTTGCTCTTGTGGAACTTCTACATTTCTTATCATCATTTCTCTTCTCATAAACCAGTGGAGAATCTGGTGCTGGAAAGACTGTGAACACCAAACGTGTCATCCAGTACTTTGCCACAGTTGCAGTTCATGGGGGCTGTTCTGCGCTACCGTGAACCCCTACAAGTGGCTCCCAGTGTATGATGCAGAAGTGGTGGCTGCCTACAGAGGCAAGAAGCGTATGGAGGCCCCACCCCACATCTTCTCTGTCTCTGACAACGCCTATCAGTTCATGCTGACTGGTAAGCTCTGATTTATGTGATATGAATTATTTATAAGTTGATTTTAGTATGTCAAATTCACATTCATATATTTTTTAATGAAACAATCGCTGAAACATTATTACCTTTGAATTTACAGACAGAGAGAACCAGTCTGTCCTGATTACGTATGTATCTAGCCTACTGTTAGAGATGTCGAGAACGATTACATTTTGCTCTTGTGGAACTTCTACATTTCTTATCATCATTTCTCTTCTCATAAACCAGTGGAGAATCTGGTGCTGGAAAGACTGTGAACACCAAACGTGTCATCCAGTACTTTGCCACAGTTGCAGTTCATGGTGACAAGAAGAAAGAGCAGACTGCCGGTAAAATGCAGGTATGAGATATAAAACATTATTCTGAAAGATAGTTTTACAATAATCTCACTCAATATGATATGTGAATTTGTGAAATGCCTACAAACAGTGTTTAGAAATGAAAAAGAAAATTAATGAAACCCCTTCAAACATCAAGCAGGGCTCTCTTGAGGATCAGATTATTGCTGCCAACCCTCTGCTTGAGGCTTATGGTAATGCCAAGACTGTGAGAAATGACAACTCCTCTCGTTTTGTAAGTCAAGCTATTTTTATATTCAAACATAATTTAGAAATATTTAGCTTAGCTTTGTTGAGTATTTTTTCTATATATATATTTTTTCGTTTTAGTCATTTAGTAATTGTAACAGTACCACAACTCAAATGTTAATTTTATTTTAAACAGGGTAAATTCATCAGAATTCATTTTGGCACATCAGGAAAACTGGCTAGTGCTGATATTGAGACATGTAGGTGGACATAATTTTAATTATCCATCCTGCACATTTGTCTGTCACGCTTCAGATGATTGTGACTTAAGTGCATTCTCTCAACAGATCTGCTGGAGAAGTCTAGAGTGACATTCCAGCTTTCAGATGAGAGAGGCTACCACATCTTTTACCAGATGATGACCAACCATAAGCCTGAGCTGATCGGTAGACGCACATATTTTATTTAACATTTACTATATTGCACAGATAATATTGTAAAATTCTATGTAATAAATGCTTTGCGTATTTTACAGAAATGACGCTCATCACCACCAACCCCTATGACTTCCCCATGTGCAGTCAGGGTCAGATCACAGTGGCAAGCATTGATGATAAAGAGGAGCTGGTTGCTACTGATGTGAGTCAATGCTGTTTTTTTAAATAACAAATTCAATATAAATATGGCTGACCATAGAGCTCGTTCTTTTCTGAAATTTCCAGACTGCTATTGACATTCTGGGCTTCACTGCTGAGGAGAAGATGGGCATCTACAAGTTCACTGGAGCTGTGCTCCATCATGGTAACATGAAGTTCAAGCAGAAGCAGCGTGAGGAGCAGGCTGAGCCTGATGGCACAGAGGGTGAGAATAAATACCAATGTGTGTGATCGCATGCAGTGCTTTGATTTGAGAGATCCACATTTATATTTTCTTTAAAAAAAAAATATATATATATATTTTTTTTTTTGTTGCTACTTTTACATTGCAGAGGCTGACAAAATCTCCTACCTTCTGGGTTTGAACTCTGCTGATATGCTGAAGGCTTTGTGCTACCCCAGAGTAAAAGTCGGAAATGAGTTTGTGACCAAAGGCCAAACCGTGCCACAGATGTGTAGTAATATATGTAGTAACATATCTCCGTCATGTCCTTTGTGTTCAGCCTGAAAATCATGATTGAATCTGACTAATTATAGGAAATCAGAAAGTACTGAATAAAAATTCACTCTATTCTTACAGGTGTACAACTCTGTTAGTGCCTTGTGCAAATCAATCTATGAGAGGATGTTCTTGTGGATGGTCATTCGTATCAACCAGATGTTGGACACAAAACAACAAAGAAATTTCTTCATTGGTGTGCTGGATATTGCTGGCTTTGAGATCTTTGATGTAAGAATCTTTTATGTTTATCTCTCTTTATGGCAAATAGAGTCACATTCAGCCGCCAGTAAATGATCCTGTTTCTTTCTCCAGTTCAACAGCATGGAGCAGCTATGCATCAACTTCACTAACGAGAAACTGCAACAGTTTTTCAACCACCACATGTTTGTGCTGGAACAAGAGGAGTACAAGAAGGAGGGCATTGTTTGGGAGTTCATTGACTTTGGCATGGATTTGGCTTCTCACTGTCTATTCTCAAAAATCTTATATTTTTGTAATAAACAACATTCTTTTATAAACAGCCCATGGGTATCTTCTCCATCCTTGAAGAGGAGTGCATGTTCCCCAAGGCTTCAGACACTTCCTTCAAGAACAAGCTGTATGATCAGCATCTTGGCAAGTGCAATGCTTTCCAGAAACCAAAGCCTGCCAAAGGCAAGGCTGAGGCCCACTTCTCCCTGGTCCACTACGCTGGAACTGTGGACTACAACGTTTCTGGCTGGTTGGACAAGAACAAGGATCCACTGAACGAGTCTGTTCTGCAGCTGTACCAGAAGTCTTCTGTCAAACTGCTGGCTACTCTCTACCCACCTGTTGTTGAGGGTAATGAGGAAAAAAGTGTTACTAATACAATTATTGACATTAATTTTACCAACCTTTGATTCAGTTTTGCTCTTTCTTTCTTGTTTTTGCATTTATATGTGTTCATTTGTATCTTTATCTGAATTTATCTATTATAGAGACTGGTGGTGGCAAGAAGGGAGGCAAGAAGAAGGGTGGTTCCATGCAGACTGTGTCTTCACAGTTTAGAGTATGTCTTTGTTTGAGACCAAATGTGAATAATGATGCATCTGAAAGCAGTTACTGTACATACGCTTGCTTGACTCTAAGTCAGAGAAATTATATATCAACAAGTCAGACAATGTGACTAAGAAAGCTGTAACTTTTCATGATTAAACAGGAGAACTTGGGCAAGCTCATGACCAACCTGAGGAGCACTCACCCTCACTTTGTGCGTTGTTTGATTCCCAATGAGTCCAAGAATCCAGGTAAAGAAATAAAGTGCTTACAGATATTCTGGCATTAATACAATATTTAATGCTTTTATTAATTTACCAAGCTCATGATCTAAACTGCTCGTTATAGGTCTCATGGAGAACCACCTGGTTATCCACCAGCTGAGGTGTAACGGTGTGCTGGAGGGCATCAGAATCTGCAGAAAGGGCTTCCCCAGCAGAATCCTCTATGGTGACTTCAAGCAGAGGTAACAGGGACCACATGAAAACACCATTTACTGTATGAGGCTCTTAATTAGAAGATATGAAGCATTTTGATTGACCTTCAACAGATACAAGGTGCTGAATGCCAGTGTAATCCCAGAGGGACAGTTTATTGACAACAAGAAGGCTGCTGAGAAACTCCTGGAATCCATCGACGTTGATCACGACCAGTACAGATTTGGACACACAAAGGTTTATATTCTACTTTACAGCATTTAAAACATTTAATGATCATGATTTATTGCATAAGATTATTCTGTTTAAATCACTGTCTTGTGATTTATTATATATTCAGGTGTTCTTCAAAGCTGGTCTTCTGGGTACTCTTGAGGAGATGCGTGATGAGAAACTGGCTGCTCTGGTCACAATGACTCAGGCTGTCTGCCGTGGTTACCTGATGAGGAGAGAGTTTGTGAAGATGACGGAGAGGAGGTGAGGAATGTCATGAAAGGAACACAACCTCTGATTCTTATATTTACCCATTTCAGTTAGTATAAACCTTTTATCAGTGGAAAAATTTATACCAATGATTCATACCCCACATGACTTCAGAATGTCAATGTATAATCAATAAAATTTGCTCCTCTCTATGGCAAAAAAAAAGTATCTGGGAAAATATTTAAGATTTAGTGATATTTACAACAACCATGTTTTTTATTTACTATTTTGTGTCAATACAGAATTCAGAAAAAAAACATGGCACAATGTACCGTTACCCATATTTTGAATTACACATTGCATTGTGTTGTGATTTAGGGTTAAAGAAAATGTCTGAAAACTAAACTTATAATGTCTTGGCAGAAAAGTACCTTTTCTGTTTTTATGCATATTTTTTACTTACATTTTTTTTATACATGTAAGACATGTGTAGGAAGTATTGTGTTGACAAGTATAAAAATAAGTGCATTTACCAATTACTAATTATCTAAATGATTTAATCAGGGATGCAATTTACACCCTCCAATACAACATCCGCCCATTCATGAACGTCAAACACTGGCCATGGATGAAGGTTTACTACAAGATTAAGCCTCTGCTGAAGAGTGCTGAGACTGAGAAGGAGCTGGCAACCATGAAAGAGGACTATGCAAAATGCAAAGAAGGTCTTGCCAAGGCTGAAGCCAAAAAGAAGGAGCTTGAAGAGAAGATGGTGGCACTGCTGCAAGAGAAAAATAATCTGCAGCTGCAAGTAGCATCTGTGAGTATACCTACTTGAATTAACTGAATTTTATCTCCATTAAAATGGAACAAAATGGTTTCCAAAGAAATAGCAATCTATTTTCCTAACAGGAATCTGAGAATCTCTCAGATGCTGAGGAGAGGTGTGAGGGTCTGATCAAGAGCAAAATCCAGCTTGAAGCTAAACTCAAAGAGACAACTGAGAGACTGGAAGATGAGGAAGAAATCAATGCTGAACTGACAGCCAAGAAGAGGAAGCTGGAGGATGAGTGCTCTGAGCTGAAGAAAGACATTGATGACCTGGAGCTCACCTTGGCTAAAGTGGAAAAGGAGAAACATGCCACTGAGAACAAGGTTGGAGATTTTGTTGGTTTAAGATTAGATTAATCGTTTTATATGATGTTATGGAATCTAAAATGAGCTCATTTGTAACAAAAAACAGGTCAAGAACTTGACTGAGGAA